AAATATCTTCAAACTAATGAAATATAAAGTTTTTAATGAGGAAAATCAGTCTGGATAACAGCAGACTGACTGCTCGTAAAATATACGACAGGTCTGGACCACTCGTGAATTTTGTTCGTATATAAAGAAAATCTTACGATTAATGTTTTTCTGACGATAATTGCACACGATACGATTATGCCCAACCCTATGTGAAGCTGCTGGATGCTCTGATTTAGAGGAGGAGTTAAAACACACATTGTGTTTATGTGAAATATCCAGTATTTTTCCTATCTCTGGYCATCCTTTATCCTTTCACTGGGCAGGACCCAGTCCCACCCCAGAACAGGGGATTTGATGATTTCAGCATCTCGTTGTTTCTGGACAACAAACAGAGCTCTGACARACACACATGGAAAATGTGAGAAAAAAAACATTATCTGGTGGGTTTTTWAAAACATATTTAAAACAATAATTACTGTTTGCTGGTAAACAAGTTAGCCCAAGTGAAATTTGAATATAATTTATGCCTTTAGTTTTCAACCCGCAGTTAATGTTTTGAATGTATCTGTCCAACCTGACTGTATCACCGGCCCACCCCCTCGCTCCCCACCTGGACCACAGTTASAACCAGCACTCTGCTCGGGACACTGGGTCAGAACCTCACCTGTTAACGGCAGCAGCAGGACCAGCAGGGAGCACACGGAACCGGACCTCATGTTTCAGCCTACGGGCCTTTTGTCAGTCAGTCTGTAAAGTCTGCAGCGCAGCGATCTGAGAACCGCATCTACTGACACGCCCATAGACTGGCACTTCCGGTCACCTTTCAAAACAAAAGAGCACAGACAGCTGTCCGTTATTTTATTCTTAACTTTAGAGTTTAACTTTCTCCTATTAAGTAGGATCTGTTTCCAAATAATAACAACAATAATAATAATAATAATAATAATAATAATAATAATAATAATAATAATAATAGTCTAAAAAGCCTTGCTCAGTCTCTCCATCAGTTTGAAGGTCCCAGACTGAAAACCATTGAAGACCCCTGATTTAAATCATTTTAGAGCCTTATTAGCCTTATTTAGAGCAATATCAGGTTTGAGCCTCTGTAATAGAATACTATTATAATCTAATGTGCACTAAGCTCTAACAGGTCCAGAGTTACACGAGGATATAATTTGTACCGTTCACCAGTTCTGTTTCTGTGCTGTGATGAGCTCTAAACCTTGACTGTAACATGATATTTCTGTCCAGATGTTCACAGAACAGAGAAGCAACTATTTCCTCAAAATGTTTTAGATGATACAAGAATAGAGCAGTCCCCGAAAAAAGAGCAAGTTTCTTAAGTAAATGTTTAATTACAGCAATTTGTAATCTGAAAGCTCATTCATTTAACACTATCTTGAACTGACAGGGTCTAACAGACATGTTGAGGATTTGGATTAAGTTTCTTTTAACAATTCAGAATAGGACAAAAACAGTCCAAACACGAATCACAACACACAGCTGTATTGTGAAGCTATATTATTATGCTTGTGTGCTCTGTGCCATATGTCAGAACCAGATCAAGGTTGTGATGAAGAGAATGAGTAGGTTTGTGTACATGATGGTGGAATCAGCTGATGCTACTAGATAAAGGCTATATTTAAGTGATCACTTCAACATCCGTATAAAGATTTAAGTCCCACACTATCATGACTTTATCAGTGTTCAATAACAGGTCAGATTAACAATGAGTCTGGTGAAAGACAGCAAATAAAAGTGTTTTTTTTTTTCTGATTTTCATTTTGGAACAGAAAGACTGAGCATCAAGGACTCAAATAGATTATAACTAATAATTTATTGGTTTAGCATTAATCAATAATCCTGATTGGAAAATAGCAGCTKCTCAGCTCAACCTTTTGTTCTTAAATAAAGGAAATGTATATAATTAGCAGAAGTGGATTTAGTTATATTAACAAAATCATTTTATTGTYGCCAGGTTTCTGTTGAACAAAATAAATGAATCCTTTCTTTTGGGTGGAGGCAGGGTTTGGTGGGTGAGGGACTGACACTCTTTCAACAGGTGTTTAGCAACAAAGAAGTGTGTAAACTACWCTGCTTCCTGACCTGGACCCTGAGTTGTCAAAATTTTGAATAAATACCAAAATCAGAAAAATTCATTGTAAGAAACCAAAGTAGGATCTCTGCATCAAACCAGGTTTCCCTGAAATGGACCACATTTATCAATGTTGTTACCATGTTGGTTTCAGAACACCAGGTGGTGTCATAGGCATGACGATGAGGGTGAGGATGGTGATGATGATGATGATTCTAAAGATGAACAGAGGAACAAAATTCATCTCACAACCACCAAAAGCTGTTAGTGAAGAGTTATTTTTTCACTTTTATGTTGGTTTTATTTGTGCTTGTGTTTTTTGTGTGGGAGGGAGGTGTAAAATATGGAAACTTTCTAGTCAAACAGGCTTCTTCTTTCAAAGTGCTTTGAAATACATTCATGCCCTTACCTATCCCTATCCACGTACATAGTACACATTACACACACAGTATACACACGTATTCACATGGCAGTCTACTACATCTCTATGGCTAATGTGAATAAATTATTTTATAATCTCATCAGTGCTTTAGGTTGCACCCAAACACTGATGAGGCACATCGGAGGAAATGAAGGTTTTGCAATGGGACACTTAAACATATGACTGTGTGTGTGTGTGTGTGTGTGTGTGTGTGTGTGTGTGTGTGTGTGTG